GGAAGGAAGGAAGGAAGGAAGGAAGGAAGGAAGGAAGGGAAGGAGGGAGGGAGGGAGGGAGGGGGGGAAGGAGGACAAGGAAGTAGTATACTCAATACCAAGAAGTTCTAAACATAAAAGTATAAAAGAAAGCTGAACCAGTGGCTCACACCTGTAATCCTAGCTACTTAGGAGGCTGAAATCTGAGAGTGGTAGGTTGAAGCCAGCCTAGGCAGGAAAGTCCAGGAGATCTTTATCTCCAACTAGCAAAAAAGTCCAAAAGTAGAGCTGTGGTTGAAGTGGTAGAGCACCAGTCTTGAGTGAAGAGCTCAAGGAAAAGTTAAGGGATAGTACCCAGCCTTTGAGTTAAAGCCACAGTACTGGCACATGTGCACACGCATGCACACATGTGCATACACACATATTCACACACAAAGAGCAAAGATAGATTTGATATATTTTAAAGAAAAATCAGGAGGGCTTAATTGCTAATTGCATATAAGAAGTGAAAGGAATATCAAAGATTTCTCTTAAAAGTTTAGAATGACCAATCAAGTTTTGGCATTAATGAACTAGAGCATTGGGGCATATGGTGAGTTTGAATTCAAGGTGAGTGAAGTGACAGTCTAATATAAACATCCTTAAGGTTACTAAAGATAAAACCCATATAAGCAAGATGACAGTGGCTCCCAGCTCTGGAGGCTGAGATCTGAGGATCAAGGTTAGAAGCCAGCTCCAATCAAAAAGCATGGTTCAAGTGCTAGAGCACCAGATGTGAGCAGAAAAAGCCAAATAATAGTGAGAGGACCTGCATTCAAGCTCTAGTACTGACACACAAAAATATTACATAATATTTGATAGGCAAGCTGAATTAAATTTCTAGGAACCATTTTTCACAATGCATTAAAATCTAAAGCTGTAAACTGGGTACTGGCAGCTCACACCTGTAACCCTAGCTACTCAGGAGACAGACCTGAGGATCATGGTTCAAAGCCAGCCCAGGCAGAAAAGTCCATGAGATTCTTATCTCCAGTTAACCACTAGAAAACTGGAAAGGGAGCTGTGGCTCTTAGGGGTCACATGCTAGCCTGGAGCAAAAATGTGTAGGACAGAACCCAAGCTCTAATGACTACCAGAAAAAAAAATTCAAAGCTGTTTACATGAGAATATGTGTCCAAGTTTTATATATATATATATATATATATATATTGTGGGGGGGGGTCCGGTCGTTGGGGCCTGAACTCTGGGCCTGGGCGCTGTCCCTCAGCTCTTCAACTTAAGGCTAGTGCTCTACCACTTGAGCCACAGTGCCACTTCCGGCTTTTTTTCTTTTTGCTTATGTGGTGCTGAGGAATCGAACTTAGGGCCTCAGGCATGCAAGGCAAGCGCTCTACCACTGAGCCACCTTCCCAGCCCCAAGTTTTATATTTTTATTCCACATTGGAGTAATGAGGTCAATGCTAAAAATCATTATTTATCATAGATTTGTAGTTGCTATATCATATATAAGTATTTTATTATAATACATAATTAAACTTCTCTTTTTGTCAGTTGTGGGGCTTGAACTCTGGGCCTGGGCACTGTCCCTTGGCTCTTCAGCTCAAGGTGAGCATTCTACCACTTGAGCCACAGTGCCACTTCTAGTTTTCTGGTGGTTAATTAGAGATAAAAGTGTCATAGTTTCCTAAAAAGCCTGGACTGGCTTTAAACCATGATCCTCAGTCTCGGCCTCCTGAGTAGCTAGGATTACAGGAATGAGCTACCATCGTCCCATTCCTAATGCACTTTTTTTTTTTTTTTTTGGTGGAGCCTGAACTCTGGAC